AAAACCCAGACGTAGCTGACATTATTGTTCTCAAGATTTAGGTTGAGACTTGAAGTGCGTTCATTACTGCCACAACTTTTTCGTATACACTTTTAAACACTGAAAACCAAGAATCAGATGTTCCGTCATGTCAAAGATGATGAAGTAAAGGCAGAAATATCCACTGTCCTAAATACTTATAGCAAAAAAGGTCAGTCTGCCCGTAACTAAACTCCAGCTAACTACTGCCTTCCCCTAAGATACACATCAGTGCTGTGTGGATGTGGAGTGGATGTCCATCACGCAGCTCTAACTTCAAACAGGATTATTCAGGACTGGTTACTTGTCCTGATAATTTGAATTTCTTTCTCCAGAAGTGTTTAAGGAAGATTTTGTTGGAGTTGTACTTTGAGAAAGGGTCTTTAAGTCATCTTTAAAGTCTCGACTTGCTCTTCGGAGATTAAAACGCTGTCATAAGCAGAATGTTGCCACGGTAACTACAAAGGCACCTTGATAAAACATGTAGTTTGTCTATCTTCTCTGTAAAGGTGTACAGTATTCTGTCCATGCAACATCACAACAAGTCCTATTAATACCCATTCTAGCTACTCCACCAATCAAACTTTCTTTTAGCCCACATGCTGTGAGGTGAACAATGCTTTGATTTAAAAGTATCGTCCTCAATGTTTGGTGCACGACTAGATTTAAACACGGATGGTTTATATGATCATTAAACATGACGGATCTGACAGCACGACTCTTGGTACATGACCTCAGCTCTTGCTATTTATCCTCAGAAGACATAATCCTGTCAAATCCTTTTTGCTAGTGGATAAACTTAAAGCCACACTTTGTATGCTTTAAATGGCAACGAGAGGAACCTGCGAACGTGATCTAAGGTTGAACATCCAGATATCTCGTCACCAATTCCACTTAGAACAGTCACGTCTATAAAATCATCTGTCTTTGTTTTATGTCAAAAAGGAAAAAAGATAGAAAGAAGCGCATAATGGAAACCCTGAGTCCTAATTTCACACGCTGTTGTTTGAGCACTGGAATTCTGGCATCTCTTCACCTGACATACATAAAAAGGGATTCGATTGGAGCGTCACAATTCCCCGTGCAGTTTCGTGAACCCCGTTTAGAGAGCTTTGTATATGTCTTTGCCAAAAAAAAAAAAAATGAGATGATTAATGTTTCCAGTGGAGCCATTCATCTCAGCCCTAATGACAGATTTTTGGTCAGAAAATGTGTGAAAAACACAAATCCATTTGGTGCATCATTGTTGTTTTATTGATTCAACACACATTCAATGAACACATTTTGTAACCACTGTAGTACATTTTTGATGTCAGATGAGCTTGTTATTGCTGGGGTTTTAATGGAAAATTGCTAGTTTTGTTTGTAATGACCATTACATTAGTTAGGAAGTCACACTGTCATTACAGTAAAAGGCAGCGTTTCATTTCGTTCCATTATTTGCAGCGGAATGCAAATCATGGTGGGATTTGGTACCATAATTCATGCATAAATGGTGCATGTTTTGATCTTTTGATCTGATTTGAATGTTTATCCAATAAACATGATGTGTTTGCTTGCGCTGTTTGTACATATTTGTAGCAACATGACAGTGAATATTTGTACGGATTAAATACTGAATGTTTTAAAGACATTTTATAGCTGCATTTGTTGTTTGTAAAGTCTAATAGAGGAGCATATTATGTGATTTCCACTTTTTAAATTTCTCTGAACATAATTAAGAATCCCAGACGTGTCTAAAAATGTACACAGTATATATTTATTTCCCTTCTCTACATATTATAAAGTGCGTCTCTGAATGAGCGCTCTGTGATGTCAAAAGGGACAAGAACCAGTCTTCACTCGTGGCTTAGAGACTCAGCCTTTTAAATACCAAACAACCAGCAGCAGCCTGCCTCTCTTACTCTAACTTTAGCCATGTCTCGGCCACAAGCAAAGCAAGCTATATGTTCTGTTGTTGGCTACAAGGACAAAAACAAGAGTTTCCATGCACTTGCAGCATCCGAGGAACTGAAAACCCAGTAGATTTATTTTAGGATCTAAAGGCAGCGTTACCAAATCTACAGGAAAATCATTAGTATTTGTATGTTGTGTGGCTGAAGTTATCATTAGCTTTGACAGAAAGCCCAGATTTATGTGATAATAAAAGCGGTGACCACAGGCAAACAGACCAATGTTTAGACTGATTTAAAACCATTAAAAATCTGGGAGTGATTTACTGTGCTTTCATGTCGCTGTTTGAACCTCAGTGCAACCTAAGCTCTGTTTGGTTCTCTCCTATTATCTGTGTTCACTGCACAGCTCTATTTAAATAAATAAATAAAAAAAACGAAATTAAAAAACTGCTATCTACATTTCCACTTTTTCTGTTCGTGGTGCCAAACAATGTAATGAGTATGAAATTGTGATTGACATGCTGCACATTAACTACATGTTAACCACCAATTAACTTTCAAGCCACTTTTCAAGCTGTCAGTCTGCACTGGAACAATGATGGTTTTAAAGCCACGATGTAATCTGACAAAATCTCTTCGCACAAAGGGTTAAAGACGGTGGCTGTGTTGTGATTCTGGCTATTTTTACTCTTTAAAGGATCAAACGAGGAGATACTGTATCACTGTCTGTGTTAGCTGCCCTTTGATCAAATGCGTCTCCTGCTGCTATTAACTGCTATTTACTGGAGGTGGTTTGCATTTGAAACTATGGAAAGGGGAATGGGACATTTGTAAAAGGGCATAGGAACAAGGGAGTTTCAGAAAAGCTTAAAAGAAGAATGTTGAATGTTTCTTTTTTAGGGAAATAAAATACTTGCTAAAAATGGAGAATGAAGCATCATCCTCACTTGTTTAATAATTATTAAATGTAAGATTTTATGTATCATTTAAACCAGAAGCGCTCACATCATTCTTCAGTCCAGCATCACCTCTCAAACGTTTACAGTGGTGTGGCTGCATTTAAGCTCCGCTTCTTTTTCCTTTCGACAGCTACACTCAGATGTGGACAAAGGAGATGGCAAGGTGAAGTACGTGCTCTCTGGTGAGGGTGCCACCTCCATCTTCACCATTGATGAGAACACGGGAGACATCCATGCCACAAAGCGGCTTGACCGAGAGGCTCAGGCTTACTACACCCTTCAAGCTCAAGCTGTAGACCGACTCACCAATTTGCCTGTGGAACCCAAATCTGAATTTGTGGTCAAAGTCCAGGACATCAATGACAATGAGCCCAAATTTCCTGATGGACCGTACCTGGCAGGAGTACCAGAGATGTCACCCTTAGGTAAGTTCTTTTACACATAATCGATTGAAGGTTAATAACCAAAGTGTTAAAAGTGATATAACATTGTGAGTAAGAATTGTAAAGTAAGTTAAAAGTGGTCACCTATTAATGCAGTACACAGTGCTTTTCTTTGTGAACACTGTGATAGTTTTTGTTCTCCATGAAGACCCACAAGAGCTAATTATCCGTACACCTGTGTGGAGTCTATGAAAAATTCACATCATGTGGAAAAGAAAAACCTGTATATTGGATGAACTATTATTCGTCCCTGCAATACCGTAACCAAACAAGTCATTTCCGCCCCCTCTCTGCACACTCCCCAAGTCTCTCTCTCTTACTCTTGCTTTCTCTTTGACCTGTCCTTGCTCCAACATCTGCCTTTGATAATTTTCCACCTCACTGAATTCGTCTTCATCTCTCCCAGTGTTTAGGTCGTGAAGGGTGGGCGGAGGGGGGGATTTGGAACGTGTGCAATATTAATTTGAGTCCAGCATGTTCAGTTTGTAAGACTGACTACATACCAATCATACTGAATATAATTTAACCAGTATGAAGCCCTTCTTGTTCATGGGCTTCACATCAAATGAGATCCAGGTTAAATTACCTTGATTTGGGAATACCTTGGCCACAGCGCACAGGTCTGTTGGCTTCCTTCTCCTTTTCTGCTGTGATCCTGACGAATAAGGTCATGGATGCCTCGCTGTTCATTTTTTTAAAGCTTCAAAAAGCAGGATGATGCACAAAGACTAAGAAACTAAAACCATTTCTCTTAGGCCACTCATTAAAGCTTGCCTTTATTTTTATATATTCCATAGGTATCATGTAGCGCTAATACCAGCAGGTTTTAGCATAAACAAAATTTTAACTTGATGATTGCACAAGAGAAAAAGTCAACTCATCACAAACGTTTATAAGTAGAACCTGACAGTGATGATATAATGTTAATTAATCAGTGAAAACATTTTGATTAAAACCAAAAATGAAAAAACTCATCAATCCATCAGCATAAATCTTCTGGGAACCAAAGATCTCTGTACTAATCTGTGTCGCACATTAAGACAAATTTTGCTGATTTGTGACGCATCAGAGAGTAACCACTGCTGATATCACCGATCCTTCTGGGATTTAGGAATGTCTTGATCAGGTTTTATTGAAATACAACTAATAACTATTGATGCTACAAGCACAAGATTTTAAAAGCTAGAAAAAGGCTGCACATACTATCAAGCCCCCTCCCCACTCCCGATCCATTACCTTTTTCTTCTTCAGTGCTGACTTTTTTCCAGTCCTGTACATTTACAAGTCGAATAGTAATTGAGAATTGACTCCCTCGAATCTCATGGGAATACCCCAGAATTCCTGTAACCCCCACAGGATATCTGAAAAAAAAGTGTGCTTCTGCAGAACAGCTGACCAACTACAGAAGTCTGCAGATTAACAGACCAGCATTGCTACATCTCAAGCAAGCACAGGTAAAAACATTATACTGCACAATAATACCTCTCCTAAGGACTCAGCAATTGATATTCTATTGATCACATTAGCATTTATTGCAACAGGTTTTCCTTTTATCTGTTTAAAAAACACTACTCGAGGGCGCTATCATATCAGCCCCTGTCTGTAAGCTGTGTGGTCAAGATTTCCTTCAAGGTTTCAGACAGGTCCTGCTCAGGTTCAAAATGCAAGTAAATGCAAATGAGTGGCAACAACATCCTGAGGCCATTCATCTTAGCAGGTGTGTTAGGAATGCAGTAAGAAAAAGTGACCTCCATATATCTAATGTCTAGAGCATGTCTGGTTTATACTGACCTAAAATTTAAAAGAATAATAAAATAAATAACAATAAATAAAATTAACATTTGGGATATTTAGGATTTAGAATATTTTTAGAGCTTGTTTTATTTCAGATATTCACATATTCACATATGCCAAAGCAGACCTGTAGGCTTAGAAATGTTGATGAGTGACTCATGTTTGAAAGCTAACTGAGGCAAACTTAAGGTCTGAATCAGGCTTGAAGGCCATAGGCATTTTTTCCACAAATTGGACTCAGAGTTCATTGCAGCCAGTACCTCCCAGTACCTTCCTGCTGAACATGTCTCTGAAAAACATCTGATCCTGATGAATACATTTCTGCCCAGCCATTACTTTGGCAATTCACTGTGGCAACACGGCACGCTTGGCAGCACAGTCACCCTTAACTTCCTCCAGCTTCACCTAAGGGTTCCCAAGGCACTCCAAGGCATGCTGGGAGCTGTGGTCTAATCACAAGTGAGCTGTGAGTGCTGGGATGGAGACAGAAATGAACCTGGGTGTCAGAAGACTGAAAACGGTGACCTGAGCTTCTCAGTTGATTAAAAATTACAAATACAAAGTTTGACATGATTTTATGCCTAAAGTGTAAAAAGTCATTTTATGTCAAATTAATTACACAACATGTACCTGCTTGAGAATGTGTTGGCCAAAGACTATCAACTTTTTTCAGTCAGTAAATTAAATGCAAAATTTGCAATAAAACACCATAAACCCATTTTAGTATCATTGCTACCAAAAGGGTAATATGGAGTGGCGGTTTGTGACCTTTTTTTCCCAGAGAAAATTGAGGAAATTCTGTACGTAATTAAAAAGAGTGAGCATCACACACTGGGTAGCATCACTGAAACGCTGTCAAGGCTGTAAGTAGGAGTGTTATTGTGCAAGCTGTAACTGCAGGCAGGTGGGCGAGAAAGCTCTGGGTTTGAATGCATTGTTTTTTAATATGTAGCGGACATGTTTCAGTTAAAACATGGGGTTAGATGGTTCGTTAAATCTGCAATGAATTGTGCTTTTGGCCACTCAGGGGCACTTTTTACACCGATATGATTGGATACTTATACACTGCTGTACTGCTTTATGTCTGTTATCAGCTTGTGCTAGCATTTGTGCACAGTCGTTTTTAGAGTGTTTTCTTTTCTTTTTTTCTCTTTTTGGAAGTTCAAAGTGTACAAATGATGCAATGAAAACTCTGAGAATGAAGCACAGCAGTGAGCTTGTGGGCCAGATAAGCAAAATAATGAGCTGAAAGAAGCTAAACAGGAACATGGAGCTGTGGGGAGCTCTGGTGATAGCACTTTGTGGATTGATCACTTGGTTCGAGAACCCTTTCCCGTATGCTTTGCTGTATGTGATTGGTATGTGATGGAGATTTTTATAGTTTTTACCTCGAGCAGTACATAGACAGCTGAGCAAACTCATTGCTGGTTAGGATCACCTCAGTGCTTCAAACGTGCTTGCTGCCATGCAAATGTAAATTAGAAAAAAAACAAAACAAAGGCTATTTCCAGAGTGTTCAAAGTCAAAATGGAAATTTCAGAAGGCATACAGTGGCACCGGGAGCCGTTCCAAGGGAGGCTCTGCTTTGCTTACAGCACAGGCACAGAGATCTCCGAAGGATTACACAGCTGACTGTCAATGGGGGGTACAGAGCTCAGGCTTAAGGAACCAGAGGATTAGAGTACGAGGGCTTTGAGTCTCGTGTCCAACCGGTGATAACAGCAACTTACTAGAAGGATGTATTCACACCAGAATTGGTGAGCTGCACGTTCCACCCGAGCACTTTATTTACTCTGCCAGTTCCCGTGAAGGTCTTCATCCCGAGTTGCGAGAACAACAGGAGAATAATGCTTTGCCTCCCTTTTGTAAATATCTGCTCAAAGCAATTATCAATGCAGTAAAGAACGGGAAAGGGCGAAGCACCTCCTGTCTTCAATAATTCCTTTATAGATGTCTTTAAATCATTAATGGTCACAGCTTTGCACCGCTGATGAATGGGTTCAATTTAGAGGAAATCATGAATTTAATTAATTAAAGTAATTAGAAGCAGTGCTCGTCCATGCACAGTGTGACCCTGTGGCCTGAGGATCTCTCAGGGCTTTTGTCTTAATCATGGCTGGGATGTCAAATAAAAGACAAGAGAGCTTGAGGACAGTTGGAGGTGTGACAATCGTGAGGCCTGGCTCTCTCCCGCTGCACAGCGAAAGGCCAAAGGAGCCGTTTGAGGGCTCATTACAAGCATAGAGAATGTAATGTCACCCCAAGGCCACAGCTCTTGAATTTACTACTCACCAGTCCTATATCCAGCTGTCACAGTTCCTGCCGAATTCACGAGAGCAGAGATCATGGATGGAATAGTCATTTTAATTCTTGAAATGAAAAAGGTGCTGCGGTTTAGGGAAAGTTGATATTTTTTTCTTTCTTCTTTTTGTCACTGCAAGTGGAAGTGCTTAATTGCGTGGTGAAAATATTCACTGAGGTACACACGCTTAATCTTTGTTAACTACAATGCAGCATATCTGTCATAATAACAGTTTTTACAAAGCTCTTAATGTTCACTTTTACTTGACAGTGACAATGTGTAAATTTGACACTATGTTAATTATTTAACTGCGAAGTGTATCACATTATTTTTTTTGTTCTCTCCAGCAACACATATTAGGCAGGCAAAATATTAGAAACACCTCTGAATATAACAGTCTCGTAAAATATAATAAAACAGTGATGAAAACTGGACAAGTTGCAAATATGGTCGATATTATGGTAGTACAGCTGTAGAGGGAATGTAGGGGATGTATTTGCTTCCTAACAATGTTAAAACATGCATAGAAATCAGCAGGCACTCGGTAACTTTTAAAGTCTTGTACCTCATTTTTGCTTTTGTAGTTAGGAATAAATGTGAACCGAACTCTAATCAATAGTCCCTGCTCATCTGAAACAGTGGGGAGCAGGTGTGAATGTGCATGAATACAATCAACTTAATCAACTGCGGCAGCTTTGAGCACTCATGGAGGCATTGCAGAACAACTGGGCTTTAATGAAACATTTTAATATTGATTCTTCTAATATCCTGTATGTACTTCCACATCGCAGAATTGGTTCTGATGGGTTTTTTTCACCTTTTCGAGTTAAATAAAAGTATATTTATATTCCTAAGACGGTCCTTCATTTGTACTAATGCAAAAGTTCCAGCACACGTTTTGGGTCACTGTCAAACCTTTGCATTGTGTGCGTGCAGTCGGAAAGTGGATATTGCACTTGACAGTTGCTTGCAACCCGTACATGCAAGTGTCTGAAGAATATCGGTCTCCGCTCCAGATTAAGCACGCCGCATTTATTTTCATTACTGGCAGATGACAGTTGCTCACCGAGAATACGGAATTGATTAGGAAACTTGTTTTGTACACAGCTGCAGGGGATAAATAACAAGGGTGAAGATCTGATCCATCACGTCGATGAAGATGGACAAATATTGAAAGGACACCGACAGGGGAAAATTGAGTAGCGGACGACAGCCTGGTGGAGCTGAAAGAATCTGTTAAAATTTTCAGGGTGTTCATCTGTTTTTTTCTCCTTCTCTCTGACATCCAGCTCACCCAGATGATATTACCTTTCATACTGACATTATTGTTAGAACAGGATGTTTGGTGGACTCGCAGGGCAAACAAGCTGTGGAAAACATCTGAAAAAAAAGAGAGGAAACTTTAAAAGCGCTCCATGCGAGTCCATATTGAAAGTTAATTTAAGGCGGCGTCCACCACACCCTCTGTGAAGTGTTTTTAACTATCATCCTGTAATAAAGATTCAGACGTTGCCTGAGTTCTCTTTCATACAGTCATCCTTTGACCTTGGTGCTTTAAACTACCTGTAATATAACCTGTCATGACTAAGAGGTGATGATATAATCTAGGTGTCCTTCTACAACCAGCCTGGTGATAACTTCTCCAGCTTCACCAAGCTTTTTTTTTTTTTTTTTACTGTTATATTGTTCACATCCAGGGCCAGAGCCTGTTAATTCAGCTTTATGGCCAGAATGGGGGACTCTAATCTTCAATTTCCGTGATCACTTCATTCTGTAAAAGCCTGTAAAATACATCTCATGTTAGAAAGTGAGATTTTTATTAGGATGTTTGCTTCAAAGTAAAATATCACCAACTTGTAAGACAGCACTTTCTGTTTGCTACAATACAGCCTTTGCCTGATATGTTCAGCTAGCCATTAAAGTGAAATATTCAAGCATCAACCAGCTATTCATGTGACAAACTGAAAAAAAGCTACACTTGTGGAGAATGGTGTTTTTTCAAGGTTATTTTAACAATTTCTATTCTTGATGATTTCACCACTGCCAAGTGTGAGACTGCTGTAGGCGTCAGCTTTAAGACCAACACTGACGTATAGTCTAACAGCAAAAAATAGCCTGAACCGTAAAAGTTGTTTTTGGTAATTTCACAATTTATTAAATGCCTTTTCCTCTCCATTATCAAATGGATATCAATTTTTCAGCATAAAATGACTTTGCCTGAAAAAAAAAGAAAATCTGCGTCCATTTAATGAGCCCAGTTGGAACAACAGGGTTCATTTATACCATAATGAATGACCTATTGAAATTGATTGGCACTGATTGTCGCTGATTATGTTTTCTCTGTGAAATCTTCAGACGCTTTTCTGCTTTACCTCCCGAGCCACGGCTGTCAGCTCAAGTCACATCAACCTCGTTCAGTGGGCACATTTAAAGAAAAGTGCACAAGGAGTCGTGTGTGATGTCTTCTCGTTTGCCTTAGAGGAAGTGTGGGAGAGGACAATACTGTACTGCACGCAGAAACAACAGTTGTCAGTTGTCAGCAGAGTTCACAGTTGAGTTTGAAAACAAATGTCCTTCTTGTAGGCTGAACGGAAGTTTGGGGATTTGAGGAGAGCGAATTCTGGGCTCTGTTACAAAGTGAGGCTTTATGTCTGGGTGTTTATAACTTTATCTGCAAAACTCCACTGGATAATGTAAGGTTTTTTGTTGGTTTTCTTTAGAATCACAGTCAGAAAATGCAACTTTTATAACACGCCGAGTTAAGATTCTCTACCCATATCAAACCTTAGCTACAGTTTTTACACAAAGTGAATGCAATAGGTTCACGACAATAAAAAAATAACAAGAAAACTCATAAATATTGCACATGACTGTGAATAAATTGTGGGGTTATTGTGCAGGAGCATATTGCATATGCATGCTGCAGCATGTAGGTCTAAGCACAGATGTACAAAGTCAGTCAAATTTCAAATGAGAAGTGTAACTTATTTTTTTGAATAACTTTTGGCAATTGCTTTGCTCAAACCTGGAGATTTACAGATAAACAAGCATCTGTTACTCAACATTCGAGTCTTAGCCAAACAGGTTCACATAATGCTGATTGAGCCTGTCAGCTACAGGTTAATCTCTCTGTATTTCACTGTATGTCAGAGCTTTAAATCTCAGGCATGAAATTTCAGCGCTGACATAGCGATAGCCACCATGCAACAAGGTCACCTCTCGCATGTGTCCTCTAGGCAGACTGCAAAGTAGTATATTAAGAAAAACTTCATGTCCATTATGTCCACAACCGGTCTTGAATGGAGCATAGGAATTTGACATAAATCCTCCAGAAATTGTTGTAAAATTCTTTAATGTACTAGGTGTCATTGAATCCTAATTAGTACCACAGAGAGGTACAGTGCCTTCCAATGACATTGCTGCAGGACGACTTTAAACTCCTTTCTAAAGCAAAAAAAAAAAAAAGTTGCAGTTTTTGGATTGCTGTGGGATGATGTGAATAGCAATTTAGCTTTGTCTTTTTTTGATGGGGTGAAGTGCCTCTTTAACATGCACAGATGGGTTGCAGACCCCATTTGGCTGATGAATTAGAACAGATTGAAGTTACCAGGAAAGATGCTGCTAACTGATCTGCACCAGGCAAACTGAGAAAAAAAAATGGCACTGAAATGATCTCTACAGGCTTGGAGTTACACTTTAATCTTGCTGCAGCATCCCTGCAAATTATGGAAATAATTAAGAGTGTCAGTTGTTTTGCAAGAGCCAGTCAGATCAGGACCCTCTCACCACCATTACCACCAACCCCCCACAACTCCCTTCAAACTGAGTTGGTCACAGGGCTGTTGATATGATGACTGTTTCCACATTTAGCTCTGTTTGTCTTGGCTTCTTGATGTTGTCTTGGAAACTAATGAAGGGCTTTCTGCTCACAGGAACCATGGTAGTGCAAGTGGTAGCCACAGACGCGGATGACCCAACATACGGGAACAGTGCCAGGGTGGTTTACAGCATCGAACATGGACATCCGTATTTCTCAGTGGAGCCAAAGACAGGTAGGAACAGACAAAATCCGTGAATTCATCCTGCTGGTTTGCATTTGTTTTACAGATATTGCTACTGTGCATCATTTAATGAAGCTTTTTCTCTTAATATATAAAATAATCTGTCAAAGTTGAAACTGTTTTCATATTTCTGTAGGCAATTTCATGCACTATACATCATGTCTTTAACTGCATTTATATCAAAAGTGAGGGAAGAGTTGGTGAGCTGTTTGCCTACACAGCTCAGCCACTGTCAGTCAAGTGTGAGCAAACAACAACCACACAAACCTGATAACCAAATGTATTTTTATATTCAACTCCAGTTTTTATTTATTTATCCATGAATAATTCTGTACTAACAATAATACTTCACTCATGTGGCTTTGAACTCCTACAACGCTGTCAGAGTCAAGACTCACAATTTAAAAACCTAATCAGAATTAATGATGTAAAATAAGAGATGTGTTGTCTTTTTTTAGTTAATGCATTCTTCTTCCCTGTCAAAACCTGAATTTGGTGTTCATGTGTGTTATGCTGTAGTGGCTAATGAAGCCTTACCCTCAAGTGAGTTTTTATTTATTTATTGTGTTGTTGTTTTTTTTTGCTTTCTCATTTTTTTGTTTTTCCTTGATGAATGTACTTTTAAAATCTAAATTTAGTTTTCAAAGTCTGTCTTTTCTAAAGCACAATGATTCTGTCACGAAATCGGATGCACTTATTTTTGTAATTTTCACAAAACAGTGGCTACTTTGCCCACACGAAACGTTCGCTTTTCCAAAGCTTTGTCTCTCTTTAAAGAAAATTTGACTGAAAGCTAATTGATGAGGATCAAGAGCATCAAATGTGTCTTTTGGTGGTGATTTGCTAAGTTTGCTCCTTATAAATTATTGAAAAACCTTTAAATAAACCTTCAGGACATATTTGTAATTAATGTGTGGAGAGATGGCAGGTAGCAGTTATTGTTATACTTACTTTACTATACTTAAATGTTGAGACACCCTTTATTTTGTTTCATATTTTGCCAGAGAAGTGCTAAATGGGTTTATTGAAGTGCAAATATGAAACAAACAGTATATAAGGCACAAACAGAGTTTATACAACTCTAATGAGCTTCAGCACAGTCTGCACTCTTTTAGTTTACTTGTAGTTTCTTTAAGTAGTTTTCAGGAATAGTGCTCCAGGCTTCTTGAAGGACATCCAGAGCTCTTCTTTTAATGTTGGCTGCCTTTTGTTCACTTCTCTGTACAGATGATCTCATATTTCTTTAGTAATGTTGACGTCCAGGCTCTGGGGAGACCAGTCCATGACTAATCGTGTTCCATTATCAGTACGCGTTTACTGCGCTGATATTGTCATTGCTAGTCTGAAAAATGAAGCTGTTGTCGATTAAATGCTTTCCAGATGGTATTACATCACAGTAATACAGTATTATATGTAATACCATACCCGATGATACCTTTCTGTATTCATGATTTAATCAGTTTTGGCAAGATCTCCTAACACCACTGGCTGAACTGCAGCCCCAAACCATAAAAGAGCATCTACTATGATGGCTATGGACACTGACTGTTGTACACAAACTCTCCTGACCTGATCTGTATATATTTGCAAAAAGGTGAGCTAAAAATTTGAATTCATAACTCCAAAGACCCGTTACCACAGATTTTCAGTCCAGTTCTTGACAGTCACCTTTCCACTGAGACCATTTCTGATGAGTAAGTAGGTGGATCAATCAAAGGGTCAGATGTATCTCTCAAGTCTTTGCTTCTTTTTGTTCCCAATTTCTAAGGACATGAGATCCAGTATATACTGTTTATCTGCTGTAAATAGTTTTTTACGTGTGCCACTTTTTTGGTACTCCACTAGTCCAGTTTCCGCAAATTGTTTAATGAGAATTTCTCTCCATGCCGAGATATGCCAAGTTTTCAGCTAATAGCTCTTTGGAAATAGCGTGTTGGTGCAAAAATGTTGTTTTTTAGCCCGTCAAGGCATTTTTTTGTAGATTCAACCTGAGAAATGAGAACAAATTATGTGTTTTTGCGACAGGCTTGCTGGTAACAAAGTGCCTAAAGATACAATTTAAAAGTTGTCTGTTATGTGAAGCATTAAAACCCCAGAGTGTGTTGTATAACGGTGTGCGTTATTTCCCCTGAATTCCACTTTTCATTTATATAAAGAAAAAGAGTGTTGAAGGATATATACACCTGATTTTAGCACCTAGATGCATGTTTGCAAGTTTCGCCACCTGTTATAATAAAAGTAACAGCACTCAAAATAAAAAGAAACCATTTAAAAATTCAGAGAAAATGGATAACGTAGCTTGAACCATAAGATGTGAGATAGCATGGTGACTTGTGTGGCATTTTATCCTGGGAAAGTGCAGCGGCAGCCCTCGCTACATCTTCATCGCTGGCTCATTAGCCACTGCCCTGCCGAGGCTCAGCTACTTCATGCAAAGCACTCTTGCAAGAAAACAGGAAAATATGGGCCATCCAGTAATACAGGCCTCATCCTCTGCTTCAAGAGCAACACATACACACATGCTACAATTTTATGAATGTAGTTCTAATTCATGAACTGCTGAGAGCCACTGCAATGCAGAGATTTCTGTCACTTATTTTTCACACTCGGTCAGACACAGAAATAAGAGGGATGCTCAACAAAACAAACTCCGCTGTGACCTGTAAGGTTCACTGTAAACATTCAATAAACCTAACCACCGGAAGAAAATGGAACGCTCCAGAAAAAACGAATGCATATCGCAAAAAAGGAAATCACTTCACACTGTGTTGGCATTATTGATGTGATGTCTTTGGAGGAAAATATGTTGGGTGCATCAAAATTCATCAGCACATTTAGCTGTGAAGCCTGCACAGTATTGCAGAATATCCATGTTGTTTTTCACTTTCTGGAGACCTTCAACTAATGAAGCCTCCTGCTGAAGCTTTCATTAGAGAATATTTCCATGTTACCATGTTTTGGGGTGAACATTTACATGTTTTATACACTCCAAATGAAAAAAGGAAAAAGAAAAAGTCCCTCATTGATACTCTAAGCTCCAGCAGTTTCTCTGGGACTACTCTGAAGCTGCAAATCTTTGATTATAAGTGGATTTTCTCATGTTGCTTCGAAGATAAAAGTTCTGTGAGCTAACTAATCTGTTAAAATGCTGTGATCACCTTCCCTCTAGATGAGTTTTTTTTAAGAACTTCTTGAATATATATTTAAGTATTTTCTTAGTTCCTTACTGGTGGCATCCATAAATATGCTGTGTGTTTTGAATGCAAGATTTCAAATGTAGTAGTGAGTGGCACAGCTTTCAATTTTAATAGGCACTTTAAAGTAGTTAACACAGTGTAAGTAATCCCTCAGGTATAGTCTCAACATTAAAAATGTTTTGATGAATTGCAACAACCTCATTGTCTCATTCAGTTTCATTGACACGTTGCCAAAAACAAGTTTAGTTATGATTTCTGGCTCAAACAAGCATGTAAAGCTATAAGAATAAAAATGTAAGTTAAATCAATCTAAAATTAATATTGAATATTGATTATTGCCAATCTATCCATGTCACGGGGGAGGGGATGCATGCTTATGTTAACACCTATAGCCGATTTATAATCACCAATCAACCTAACGTACAGGTCCTTGCACTGTAGGAGAAAGTCAGGGTACATTAAGAGAACAAGTGCAAGAACATGGGACAACATGCAATCTCAGTCAGCTGATAGTTTGAAAATAGAAGCAAGGCAACAGCACTAACCACTGGTACACCATACTGGCAGCACTGATTATTGTTTCTTGAATAATCATAAAGCCTACGTTAAATATTACCTAATTTTATATCTGATTTAAGAAGATTGATGTAGCTAATATGTCTTCACAACTTTTTTTTAAGCCAGATGTTACAATAAAACCTTGCCTAGCTAGCTTTGTTAGCATGCTGCATCTTTAAATGATTGTAACATTGAATGGTATGCTAATTTTGGCTAGCAAGAAACTTGAAATAAAACACCCTTACTAGCAGAGATGGGCAGTAACTGTAATCCGATTACTTTTTTCAAGTAACGAGTAAAGTAAGGGATTACTATTGCAAAAACGGTAATTAGACTACCGTTACTTTCCCGTAGGAA